TTTTGTCGTTATCTCCGTGACCCAACTATTCAGTAACAGATAAACATGGTCTTACCATTAGGACTTTCATATCTCAAACACACATGATAACGAGTTTTTTCAATAGTTTAATAAATATTTTAAAGGTTTTGCTGTTATTTAAAAAAAAATGTCACTCAAAACAAAGACATATATGATATTCATATTATTTGGTTAGAATTTGTACACATCCACTTCTAGAGTTGAGAGAGAGAGAGATAGAGATATTATTTGAGAATTTATAATTTTTGTCAGAAACATTCTATTGATGATTTTCTTGATATGAATGACATGTTTATTAATTTTGATCCCTGTGGTCATTCACTTCATAATGCACCAAAAATAACGAATTTCCATCATTATTATGTTGATTTATTTTGCATCCTGATTGATTTGCAATTCCAAGAATCAAATGCTCGTTTCTTAGAGGCTAGTACATAGTTGTTACTTTGTATAGCTCGTTTATCTTCACAGAGTTCTTTTTCTAATTTGAACAAAGACAAACTAATTAAGCTTATCCACAATATTTTTCTACATTGATATTCCCATTCTCGAGGATCAAACACATAACTTTATTGTCTATAAGAATTTAAATAGATTTTTTAAAAATAAAATAAAATACTCGGAGATCTCGCAGAGGTGCAGACGTAAAGGCACAACATGTGTTTCCTTTAGCTTACAAACTTTTAATTTTGGCGTTAATTTTACTAGTTACAACGGCTAGTAATGGAACGATTATTGTTTGCATGAATATTTTGACTAGATGAACAATCGAATGAGTGATGATTGGTCGAGTGATAGGATTCTTATTTGCGTAGAAAAAAATAAACACATTGAAAATAAATAATTATGTTATATTGTAAACGATATTAGGCTATGGAAACTCGTAGAGAATAACTATGGAGATACGTTTTTGTACTAAAAAAATTACCTCACGCATGTTCAATCCAAAACTTTTTGCCACATATATGAGCCTTAGATTTATTTCCCATACTTTTTTATTACCTTTTGTTTCCCTTTCGTCATTCGTTCTATCGATCAAGGTTCGGTTCCCAATATGACATGCTCAGTTAGGGTTCCAGACAGAAATTTTTTATACCCGAAGTTGTTAGATGTAGAATTATTATTCAAATTGAATTATCCGTGACCATAAGTGTGACCGAAGAAAGAGAGAGAGAAAGAGAAGTGTAGGAAGAACGATTCTGGAATTGAAAAAGATAAATATGGAAGTGGTAATATTTTGAATGGGATATATTTTTGGAAACTTCTTTGGTATGTTTTTAAGCTTATACATTCCCACTAGTGTGTAGCCCGTGCGATGCACGAGTAAATAATATTAAATAATAATTATAAATTAACGATGACAGTAAACAATATTAACTAATATTTATAAATTAAATATGAGGATAAACAATATTAACTAATAATTGTAATTAAGGTGTGGAGTTAATACGTGACATAATTTATCGTATATTGGTTGTAAACAATATAAAATTATCTTGTATAATGTATGTTTAAAATATTAAAAACACCTAAAATATTATATAACGTATGTAAAGTATCTAAACTTTTATATATCATTATTGGAGATGTGAAGTCACCTAAAATCTTTCTAAACTATTTTATAAATAAAACATGTCTAAATTTATTTTAAAAAAATCTTGCCGAAAATATATTATTCAATTTCCAGAAGATGATGATAAGTATAAATTTGAATTTTAGAATCCACGTGAGTATTATTTTTTAGATCCGTGTACTATACAAATTATTCATTTTGTTAATTTCCTGTGAACTTCATATTGATTTATTGATTTTATTTTATTTCTATACAAAGTTGATCGTCTCATTTTGTTTTACCATATTTTCGTGGAGATTTAACAAAGTCGATTGCATTTATAAAATGATTTGGACATCAACATACAATTTATAATGGAGTTTTCAAAATTGTGTACTTACCAAATAATATATTATCATTAAATATTTTTTTTAAATGCATAATTATTGAGACTGATAATTTGATAATTATTTTACCTTTAAAAACTGAGTAAAGAAAAGACAATATATTGGTAAACAAAAAAGTGACAAACATTACCAAGTTTATTATTACACGTTCCAAATAAAAAATTGTGATGATTAGTGGAAAATGATATTTAACGAATAGCATTTAATATTTTTTTTGAAAGGCATAAATTTTTGAATTGAGATTTTATATATATAGAGACTAAGATTTTAATGTTCTTCGTTGTTTCTATGAAAAAATAAAATAAAAATAAAAAATGCACAGTTAATAAATTTTAGCTAAAATTTTTAAATAATAAAATTAGTTAAAGCCAAAAATTTAATGCAACATTAAATGTTGAATGATTTTTTAAAGATAAAAATAAAAAAATAATAAAACTTATTATTTATAGGTTGCATTAAATTCACTCCTATTTTTTTGCTACTATTTTTGTTAAATAGTAATTCTTATTATATATGTATAGATAAATTTATTTTTTGTTCTACAGGTAATAGATAAACTCCTGAAAATTGATATAGTCACATATATATGGGTAATATCAACATTTCAAAATACAACCCACTAATTAAACAGTTCAAAATTCGAAATCCAACTAAGATAACAAAGAAAATAATATATGAACATTAGTATAAAATATGTTTGTTTCTAAATTAGACACACATAAAGTTCTGCCAACTCCTCCAAAGAATCAGAACATGAACTGGGATCTGCATTTTCTAGCATCCATAAGAGATGGTCAAAAAGCACCACCTCACACTTCACAGACACATCTGAATCCGTACCCATGCTCGTGTCCCGACCCAATTCATACTTGGATTTTTCAATGAGAGCATTGAGCAAAGGATGGTTCAAGAATTTTGAGCTGATCACATACCTTATTCTTGAACTCCCCACAAAGATCGTCTTATGGGCCTCTGATTGATCAGTTGGACCTGAAAATAGTTTGTAATATGGGCCCGAATCCCTCATTGATCTGGATCTCAGCCTAATGTCAGAGGAGCTTCGACCCATTTCCCTCGACAATGTCTTGCATCTCCCAAGAATGGAGTTGATCCTTTTCATACTTATTGTATTGTTTCAGTGTGTGTGTGTGTGTGTATGATTATACTAGTGAGAATTGGAAACTTGGAATGTGGAGATAGGATTTTGATTTGGGTTGGTGGGTGGCGGGTCGTTGTTTTCAACCCACCAAAAAACACTCATCAATTGTATTTGTAACAAGCCACCATATGTCTGAAATGAGATGTGCAATCTTATATTCCAAATATAAAAATAGATGATAAGATGAATAAAAATCTGACTAATCAATTGAGAAAATAATTTGCTCATCCATGTAAAATTGGCCTTCAATCAGTACATTTTTAGTGTTGAAACGATTTACCTCATGCATAAAGAAAACCAATATAGTGCGTGTGTGCGTGTCTAGAGTTTAATATCTTTTAGATCAAATGAGAAGGAGAGACCGAGTATCATCACGAGGTTTTAGCTAACTTAACCAAAATTCCTCATAAATAACTAACAACAACAAATACGAACCAAAATAAAAAATGACCATTCTTTTCCCAACTTGAGAAAGGTCACATTGCCATAAATTAAAGCATTCTCTTTAACTCACTGCCCTTTAACCACGGGATCACAAATATGAAATAAATTACTACCTCGTGCTTATATCTCCAACATGTTGAGTGTTATCGTCTTTTAACGTGTATTTTGGAGTGTGGCTGTTTCAAGGTAGGATCTCCTGTGCAGTCCTTAGCCACGTGGTTGAGAGAACCACATTTGAAGCAACCTCCTCCTGCAAAAATGAAGGAAAAGTACAATATACTGAATCAGGTTTTAAATTTTGCTGGACAGAGAGAGTAGAGGTGATAGTTCATTCAGTTATTGCATCCAGAAAAAATAACACGGGGAAATCTCCTGTCAAATGGTTTCACGTCAAACCAATCCCCTAAT